AAATCCAAGCCATCCAAACCACTCAGGAGTTACCTGAAAGTGGAGCTTTAACTAGGGACCCGTTCAAAATCCAAATCCAAGCCATCCAAACCACTCAGGAGTTACCTGAAAGTGGAGCTTTAACTAGGGACCCGTTCAAAATCCAAATCCAAGCCATCCAAACCACTCAGGAGTTACCTGAAAGTGGAGCTTTAACTAGGGGCCCGTTCAAAATCCAAATCCACACCAAAAAAAAACAAAAAACAACAAAAAAACATCACCAAGACCTTAGCCGAAACTGGAGCTTTGGGCCTGCGGCACTCGCAGGACAAAGTCTGGAGCCTCGCCACGTTCCTGCCCTGCGGAGTGCGGGCGGGAAGTCGGAAGTCGCGAAGCCGATTGGATCGAAACGCGCCGCGTCGCGGCCAGTCCTCCAGCGAAGTGGCTCGCAATCGACCGGATCCACCATGGACGTACAATGGCCAGCAGGTTTTTTTTTGCCACTATGACTAAATATGAAGTTTTAGCACATTGACCACTTTAATCATGACATATGGTTTTCAAGTACCCCGCAACCCCATTCTAATCATCTAGGCCCTTGTGTTAGCCTATGGTTGTCGAGGGACTCCAGTAGGCCCCCCCCCAATCCGACTGGGGCTCATAGCGAATCATGAGGCCTTTTGCTTCCTTGGAGGGTTCCACTGCTTTCTTTGGGGGCCCTGACAACCATGGGGGTGTTCCTTGACGGGAGCCCTCCCCCCAAAAAAAGGTGGATTGGGCTTTTCAAGCCAACGGAAAGTACCCTAACAACAGGACAGATCCGAGAAGGGTATCAAAACAGACAGGCTCTTGATTCGGCTGATAAAACGAGCGAAAGCCATGGTAGAGATCCTTTACTTGGGGATCCCTGCTGTGGATGGACGAAATCCTGCACCACTTTGAAACCATGGGAAACCACTAATTGGTTGGTATATACCACGGGAATTAGTATTCCAGGGTTTCGCAAGTGGTGCAGGATTTCGCCCACACAGTATTTCAGGTTTTGGACATTGTAAAACTTGCAGAGCTATTGCAATTTACACGTCAAGGAAGGCGACGTGTGAGTGGGATCCAAGGATTCGCCCTACAGATTGCAATAACTAGCAGATCAGTGGTGTGTTCCCCACTGTGATACAAGGGCACCCCCTCAATGGGGGGTTCGTTTTTGGGAGGCCCTTTGTGTTGTGTCACAGATGTTCATTTCAACCACAGCCCTGCAGATGGCATGCGTAAACTCAGGTAGCCCTTGGTCAGTTGGTGGTTTGGATTGGTGGTTTGGGGATTTGACCGGATCCTGGTTCTTGTGGAAGGTGAATGGAAGACCCCGCCGTTTCACCAAGCCACCGGGCTCCAAACTGCCAACTAGTGGGAAGCTGATCTAAACCACCAATCTTGGGAGTTCGCCCTGGGCCAAAGCCACGTTTTTGTTGTCAGCCGAGGATTACGGAGGAACAGTGGACCAACCGCCACTCCTAGGTCCCCCAGCAGTGCCCTTTTACCTTTTCTTGGGCAGAAAAAAGTTGGCACCCATTGCTAACCTTCCTACTGGAGGACCTAGAATGAGAGGGAAGCTGAAAAGCCGCCGGGTGCACCAACCTTCCTTTTATATGGGTTTGTCTTTGGGAGGCCCTTTTTGTTGTGTCACAGAAGTGGTCATTTCAACCACAGCCCTGGGATGCAAAACCTAACCTTCGGCAGGTGGAGCTGAAGTTGGTGCAGCGGCCGCAGGGCCGCGCGGTGATTTGGCACGGCGCCGGGCGCCGCTCTCGGCAAATGGCTGGGGGCCATTTGGGCGTTTGGGCGGGGGCTGTTCCTTCCGTTTGCCGAAGAAAGTCACTTCCTGAGTTCATGGACTCTAAACTTTTTGGGAAGACCATTTTGGTGGTAAACAAGAAGTTTGGACTTTTTTTAGCCAATGAACTCAGCAAGTGAGGAAAGTCGTGGATGTGTTTTGCCCTGCTGGTTTGAAAGGGGATGTGTCACTGGAAAAAAAAGGGTTCTTTTCCAGGGGCCAGTCTACTCATGTCTACTTTGTTCCTTAGGGTTCCGTCTTGGTCCCATTGTGAGCTAGACCCAAGTTGAAAATTTGAGAGGTAGTTCTAGCTGCTGGAACAAGGATAAGGCCTCAAACAACTAAAGCCATGTAGAACTGTCTCACTTTTGCGATGTCCATATGTTCTTCGTTGACGTGGCCTTGATGATGCTATTCCACAAACGAGGCAGCTTTGGTTCGTTTGCCGCTGTCTTTGTCACAAGTCTCCTGTTGGTGGTCCAACACTATTCACATTTCGGTTGTAGAATTGGGTTGCTTGAATCCTTGTGGGAAATGCTTGTAGGTTGGAATTTCAGGGCGCCAATCCTGTTTTCGGCACCCAAATATCTACCGCTATGCTCCATTTTCTCGGTTGGTAACCTCCAGTTAACAGGGAATACATGGCTGCAGGCATTTTTCCCCGCAATGCAAAGGGAATAGAAGCCTCCGAAAGGAGACGCCACTATGCGCGAGTCGCGAGTCGCGAGTCGCGAGTCGCCTTAGGGCTGGCGGCAGTGCGAACGTCCAGCTGGAGACCAGTCTAGGCCAGATTGATCACAACCGTTTGGGGAAACACTCGGGAGGGGTGGAGGGTAGCACTGGAAATAACCTACCATCGTTTGAACATTCAAGTCCCGAGGCTGTGGAAGGGAACTTTTGTGAAGCTTGCCGGAAAGGGTGCCAAACACTGATGTGTGTTATCGGAGTTGGGGGCCACGCCTCTGAGGGTGCACCATGTTGATGTTTGTTCGCTCTGTTTTGCCTTCGGGAAGCCAGAGAGAGCCCAACCATTTCTCCATTTTTGTCGGGGAGGAGGCCGTACCAGGCCCACCAAGCCGAAACCTGGAGAGTGTAACAGGGCCTGGAAGGAAGACTCTTGTCCTAAGTGAGCGCATGCCGCCGGTCAAGCTGGGGGAGAGGTGAATCGGGAAGTTTCGAGCACACCTCATGCACTAAAAAACCAGAAGCACACGATTGAAAAAACAGCGGGGGGTTGTCTGGGCTGGGGCTGTTTTGCGACATGCTGACGCATGACGCATGTTGGCTGCTTGTGTGGACTTGCCATTTTCACTTTGCTGTTTTGTCCGGCTGGACAGGTTGCCACCACCCGCTATTGCTTCTTGCCCGGATGCTTGCTTTGCAATTCTGAGTGGAATTGCAATTTCGACGTTGCTGGCTCGGAGGGATGCCTAAGTGAAGGATTTGTTTGAGGCGCACGTATGGCAAAAGGGGCCAGCTTTCGATCCGCCCGCTCTCAAGTCTGGGTTCAGAGGGCAACCTGAGGGAAGAGTCCACTATTTGTGTGACTTTTCCCACCTCAATTAAGTCTGCCTTCTAAAGTAGCCGCTCAAAAAAAAGGAAGCACAAACAACAACACAGCACGACAAGCAACAAGAACAACCAAACACGGCAAAGCAGTACCCTCCCGATGTTTGTTTTGTTTTTGCTTTTTTTAAGAAAAATAATAATTAACAAAAAGCAACACATAAGAAAAGAAGGGGGGGAAAACACGCCGCGCCCTTTTGGACCAGCGCCTTGTCGTCAAGCAACGCCGGGCTTACGGCCCACGGCGCAACGCGCGCAACGCGGCGCAGCGCGCGAGATTCGAAAGGCCGGGGCGGCGCGCAGCGGTCCCGCTTTGCGGGCCTCGAAGGCGCGTGGCAGTCGGGCACGGGGCACCCCACTCAGGCCATGGACCGTTCCTAGGTATCTGGTTGGGTTTTGGGCTCCCACACTAAAATAGACAAGTAAAGAACAAAGGTGGAACTACCTCAAAAGTGAGTGGACACGAATCCCCGAATTCGGAGGTCCGTCGGGCCCAGATTCGGCAGCGCTCATTGCAAGACTGAGCTGTTCGTTTGCAGCTCTTTTGGCCCTTTGGGTTCCCACCGCTGCTTCACAACACCAAAAAAAGGCAGCTTTTGCAGGAGGTCTAAAGGTGGCCAAGTCTACCATGGTTTTGAGCTTGTCAAATGTGCTTCCGTATGAATTGCGGAGAACAAGCACTATGTTGCGGTATGTTTGCACATTGAAATTTGAAATCAAAGCCAGGCCTTTGACAATGGCGTATCGTCTTCCTTTGGCGCCCATGCTTTGGCGTATCGTTTTTCTGGCAGATCTCAGGCTTCGGCATCGGTTCTGTTCCATCTGTTCCCTTGCTCGGCTCCTAAGAACTGAGAAGCGAATGGGCCCGTCGCATTGGGGTGCGAAGGTGTCTGCCCTAGTAAAATGGTGGAGCCAGCTCATGTCCAGTGCAGCGAAACTTGCCCACACTTTGAGTCACAACTCGCCCCTTTTTTTTCCGGCCCACAAACCAAAGGCCCCCTTCATGGCCTTCTTGGTGGGTTCCAACTTAGTCTGAGAGGAGTAAACGCCTTTGCCGGCAAACTGCACGGAGATTCGGCGCTCTCGCCGCTCGTTTTTTGATGGCTCATAGGCGGCGTTTTCTCGCGCTTTCGCAGAGCCTAGGGGTCCGAAGATGTGCTCCTAGTCTCAGCGGCACTGACCAAGTTGGGCTGAGCAAACTCTCAGTCGCCCAAAGCGAATCGACCTTTTGACCTTTTGGTTTCCCTGATTTGGTCCATTTTTAGTCAAGGTTTCAAAAGGTTAACCTTTTATTTCTGGGTCCTTTGGGCAACTAACTGAGAACTGCAAAGGGGTCGTTGCACATTGGAGAAACAGATTTCTCTTCTGTTGAGTTGCAATGAGTTGCACACATACTTGTATTGTTGCCACAAAAAATAGTCAACCTAGGGACGGGCTCCTCGTCAAGCAGGCATTTCGGAAACCCAAGCGGGATGAACAACTGCTGAGCTAGCAGGGAGAAGGTTTGTTCGCTTTGATTTGTGTTTGCAGGGGTCTGCCAAAAAACAGGAAAGGTTTTTTGCTACCATACCAGGGGTTGTGAAGGAGTTTTTGGGCGACCACCAGCCATCTACACCTTTTTTGCCTCGCCTTTCTTCGGATGCTTCGGCTGTAGCCATGAGCTGCATTTCCAAGCGCCAGAGCTCTCAGCACGGCCGGGGCCCCGTCCTTCACGGGCCATTTCGGTAGTGGCAGGTTCTTCTCTCAACAGGGGCCCAGCGAATCTCCAGTTGCTTCCATTTGCTTAGTAATATATATAAATATATTATATATTTTAATTATTTCACTGTTGGTTTTCAAGGGAGTCTATCACTACTCGACATATTTTTATTTTTCCAGGGGTCTTAACCAAATGGAAGGTTGCGAATGTAGTAGGTGACTCGCCATCGTCCTTTTTGCTTTCAACTGATGTTTTCCTTGGCGGGCCTACAAGGCAGGGAAATGGCATCATATCCGCCTTTGCAGCTGCAGGGTTGCCACTGGGATGTCCGACTGAAAGCCCATGATGTAGATTCCTTTCGTCTAGAAACCGGTTTGGATGCGCTATTTGTGGATTCACAAGTTCTTCCCCCTTTTGGTCCTCTTAAGTGATATTTTAATATTAAACAGGGATGGATTCCAAAAAGCCGCGCCCAAGTGGATTTTTAGATTTCATGGATAGAGCCGCTAGTTTGTTTTGTCCGTGGAATGCAATCAAATTAGCCGGAAAGTCTTTGTCATTTGACCGTCAGTACAATGCATCACTTGCGCGGAGGGCACGGCCACTCCCAAGACGGGTATGGAAGGGGAGGTTGGGAGAATAACCCGCCGTAAGGAGTCTACAATGTCACATGATTTTTCCCTCGGGGTGGGCTAAGCAGTCGTCTTGCAAGGCAAGGAACTGATTGCTTTTCGCTAGTGCGCGCCGCGCCCCGATGCTGCAGTTGGGTGGAGGATGTTGGAAGTAGATGGCCCAATTTCCAGGCTTCCACCTTGCTTGCCTACATAAAGGGCACGTGCCATCTGCTCTCACTCCGGGATATATTGGTCTTTAAGCTGGCGGTAGCTTGCTTTTTGGTTGCATGTTAACTTCCATTTGCTTAAGAATAATACTATTTTATTTTCCCCTGTTGGTTTTAAAGGGAATCTATCACTACTGGACATATTTATCATTTTTCTGGGGGTCTGAACCAGATGGAAGTATATTTTCCCTGGGCTTGGGCTTTGAGTCTGGTCTCCCGCGGCATACACCAACCAAAACATACCAAAAGTGGGCACCCTCAAGAGAAAAGGACAACAACCCGTCATTTCCACACATGATGCATCTGCGATCAGGTGTGCAGTCGGGCATCCCAATCCTTTTCGGGGCATTGGTTTGTTTGTTTTTGGGGTGGCTTTCTATTGTTGTGTTTTGTTGTGTTGGGGAAACTTGCTGAATCTCAGCAGGGAATGAGGGAGTGACCCCTATAAACCATCCCCTATGGTTTCCTTTAAGGGCATGCCTATGTTTCCCAAAACCCCGGGTCACCCACGGGAACCCCCTTCGGCCCCAGGCCTTTCGCGTCTGAGCACGCGCAGCGGCAGTCATGGCACGGGACCCAAGGGAGCCAAAACCACACTGGCAGCTTTCCTAAGCCTCAGAGGCTCACTCCCTGAGTTTCTGGACAAACTTTTTCGGGAAGACCCTTTGTTTAGTAAGCATAAAGTTTGGAGACTTGGCCAATCCAGGAAGTGAGCGCGTATAAGTATTCATTTCATTCAAACTCCTACTAGCTTCCCATCGATGACATGACCGATGTTCATGGATCCATGTTTTTCCAATTTTGTTTGCATTTTCCCGCCAAAGAGTCAACGCATCAAAGGGTTAGCTTTTTCTACTATGGTGAATGGTGACACTATGGTTCGGAATTTTGCTTGCGGGCTGCCCCTTTTCAGATGGAATTTCCTGGGTACCGCGGCTATTGATCGGGCATTGTGAAGGCCAGCCTCACTGACCGGGTATTGCAGCATGAAAGCCAGCGTATGGAACGTTCTCACTACTTGCAATGCTTGGGGCATCAACCGTTGCCAAGCGTACCTGAAACACATGATGCGGGGTACATGGCTTCAACCCTGAACAGCCTTCAAGCAACCCAGGATTCATACACCCTTGTTCATTGAGCACGCGCTGCGTCAATTAAGCGGGGAACATGTTTGCTTTCTCTGAGCTCGCGTTCATAGTATTTCACCACCTTCCACAAACCCGTCCTTCTGCGGCTTCGAAGTCCATCTTACATGTTTGCCCTTCACTAGAACATTGTTGGTACAACATATTTACTCCCCTACCAAGTAGCATGGAACTTAAAATTAAAAGGGGGGTTACCCAAAAGGAGTTTCTACAGATGGAGTTAGCCAAAATAGGCTACCCAAAAGGAATTAAGATTGAACTTAAGTGAAAAGGCTTAAGGGGGGCTACCCAACAGAAGATTCCGGTTTGGCGAGGCACACTGCAGGCCAGCAAGGCCACTCCCAGCGAGATTAGCCAGAAGCCGCCAGGACCGAGATGTGAGCACACGAAGAGATATGGGTTGGGTCTCTTTTAAGGTTGGACACTCCCCCCCCAAAAAAAACAACAACAAAACATCACGAAGCTTCTGTAGTCCAAAGAAACAAGCATAAACAAACAAAAACAGTGTCTGGGTGCGTAGGTGTCCTTTTGATCGGTTAGTTTGGTAAAATATCGATGGGTAAGCCATTGGTTGTTTCATATATTTTATTCCATTTACCAGGAAGCCCATCGAGTTTTCCAAAAGGTCGCCTATGTATGGGTGTGTTTGCCACCAAACAGAAAAAGTTTCTTTAGCCCTTTTTCATGAGTTAACTTCGGGCTTATGGTACTACACTCCCCCAGCCAATCACCAGATGTCCACTCAGCCTGGATCCTGCGCACCTCCTCAAAGATGATCGCCCTCCGAAGAACAAACGGGAATTCTTCACAGCTCCTCTACCAGGTCCCCCAGTAGTGCCCTTCTCAACCCCGTTTTGGGGGAGGGTTCTTCTACTAAAATAGAGTGCAGTTCCATGTTTGTTTTCGGGAGGGTCTTGGAGCGCCACGGGGTTTGAGCCCAAAAGGGCGACCCTTTTGTCGGTCCCAAAAGCAATCTTAACCCCAAGAGAACCCCGAGACTCACTTCCTGAGTTCCTGGACTTTAGTCACTTTCTGGGTTTGCACAAGTTTAGTGGTAAACAACAAGTTTGACTTTGTTTCCCTCCGGGAACCCCTAATTGGTGGTTTGGATTGGGATTTGAACCTGAATGGGAAACCCCTCCGTTTCACCACCAAATCATCGGGCTCCAAACCACCAAACAACGTGGGAAGCCGACAATGGAATTCACAGGGAAACCGCTCCCATTTTGGGAGTGCCCCGATTTTGAGACATGTTTCGTCCAGAAAGTTGATATGGGTCTGGGGGGTCCCCAAACAAACGACACACCCATATGGCCATGGGTCAAAATCCTGTACCCTCAGTGAACATCCCAATCCCCACTAAAATAGACTAAAATCGACAAAAATAGACCACATGAAAGCATGTATAGTGGGAAGCTGACAGGCGCTGAGAGAGCTCTGGCCAGGACTGCCGCCGGTGGCGGAGTCGGGCGTGCGCCTCACCGCGGCGGTTTTGAGCCGATTGGACCGCGGCGGCTTGAAGCCGCCGGACACGGCGAGCGCGCGCCTGGCCGCGGCCATGAGCGCCTTGAAAGAGAAGCCAAAACTCGCCTTTTTGAGCGGCCGAGAAAAGGAAACCCAAAATTCATGTTTGGTCACCCCAAGAAGCAAGCAAACCCATGTGATGGTCGATCTGTGCATACTTAAATCAAGGACGTGTTTCTAGTTGCGGGGCAGAAGCTGAGGCAGTCACTTCCCCAATAAAAGTGGGGAATGGATCGATTTTTTTTCCCGGGAGCTGGCTAAGTGGTTAGTGACGAGGCTACAGGCAACGTGCCCCCAAAGGTCCAGTGATCCAATACGTGCCTCTTCTCTGCCCCTTCGGCACGTACCTGAAATAAGGTTGGTGCGGATACGGGCACGAGGAAAGCACCCAAGTTTCCAAGGTGTTTCGTGATGTTTGGGTCGAGCACGGTTGGCTTCCTGGCTAGGTCCCCCAGTAGTGCCCTTTCACTCTTTTCTGGGGGAGGGTTCCCCTACTAAAATAGACTGCAGAAAAAATTGGGTACTGACCTCTCCACTGGAGGACCTAGCTGGCAATATGGATGGCACCCACCTGTCCCGGGAATAGATGAAGGGGGCAGGTCCCAAGCCGGTGACGTTACCCTTGAGCCTTTCGAGGCTGTGGAGAGGTCGGTTCCTTGCAGTCTGGCCTTTCATTTTGCGAAAGGGTGCAAAGGCAAGACGCGAGCCAGGGTTAGCCAACGCAACAAGCCCGCAAGCCAAGCTGGCTTTTCGTCGTCGAAACAGTAGGGACCCCACTTCCCCACAAAGTTTCTCTGAACCTTTTTGAAGATTTTCGAGGAAGATTCTTAGAGCCTTTGCTCAAAAAGTGGTTTCCTATGAAGCCACTCGGCCACGCGCAAGGCTCGCAGGCTTCACAGCGGGTGGTATCCTTGCCACCGCTTCGGCCAGAGGCGCTCGCAGCTCGGGGCTCGAGAGATGCGACCGTTGGTCGGTTCACGTGCTTTCAGTGAAGGCTAAGCACGAAAGGTGAGATGCGTATGACTTCCGAACTTTTTAAAACTACATTACAAAGTATGCGCATACATGAAAGGTGATATCTCTCCTTTTGCCAAGCTATATATCAAGAAGTTTGGATGCCCCCTGCAGGCTTCCAAGCCGACGAGGCAAACTGCATCCGCCGGCGCGCGAGTGCCCCGTGACTCCCGTGGCCCGCCCCGCGCGGAGCCGGGCGCCGAGAAAGCGGCGCCGCGGCGAGCGCCGGCGAGGGACGCCGCGAGAGAAGCGGTCAGCCAGGAGCCCCTGCGCAGTGACTCAGCGCAAAGGGGAGAACCGGTCTTGCAACTAGCCGGGCTTAAAATTGTTCTCAATGGGAATTTCAGGCGCAAGGGCTCCTGCAGGTGCACTTCGGAAAATCGAAGAAGCTCACTTCCCAAGTTTGAAAGAAATGAAGGCCGTTTCAGTGGGCCGGTGCTTTGCGCGGGTTTCTCATTCGCAAGTTCCTTGGGACCGCGACGGCGAAATCGCGCGCCTCCGCCGAGGCCAGCGAAGGCCGCCGAAGCCCAAGCTGCCCTTGGGGAACCGCAAGGTGCAGAGCCTGGATTGGGCCTCCGAGGAGGCGAATGGGTCAAAAGCCGTGGGACGGCGGGCTCGAGATAAAGGGCTTCCGGGTTTTTGGGGCGCTCCGAAGTTGTTTGAAACTTTTAGAAGTCCAGTAAGAATCGGCATGAGGGTTGGCCCTTTTTGGTGTGCACTCCGCATTTGGACGCTGGTGCCATCATGCACGCATGTCCATGTGTTCTTTTGAAGGCACGCGCTTGTTTTCTGCGCAAGGCAGAGATAGCAACAGCGTAAAACGAGCTTGCCCATGGTTAAGGCTGCCAGGATTTTGGAGAACAATTGGAAGGGTTCCTGTTGGGGGAAGCCTGACCCTCACGGACTTTGTCCGTCCGGTTCTTTGTCGGGTATTTTGGTGGTGTCTCAATTTTGCTGTACCCAGAAACTAGAAAAATTGGGTACCCTTATTCCATCCTCTCTACTGGAGGGCCTAGAAAACACGATTGGTTTCCCACGTTGGTTCGCATTTGCAACCATTCAACCGGGGGGGTGGCCATTGCAGACTCATACTCTCGCAGGCCTGGAAGGCCTCGGAAGCTCGGTTGCTGGGGCGGCGGAACAGCAATCGAGCGGACGAAAAACGCGGGGGCTGCCCACACTGCGGTCGCAGGCGCGGTGCGAACCGAAATCGGTGAGAGGCACCATGTAGGAGGCTTTTGAGCGGCTACTTCAAGTATCAGAGTTCTTAGCTGGTGGTGTTTCCCACATGCCGCTCCGTGAAGCGTTGTTGTCTTGTTTTTAGCGTTGCGCCATTTTGGTTTTGAACTGAAAGGAGGTCGTTCAAAGGGGGGCCTTACTGAATATGTTTTGCTTGGTTGCCTGATTCCTTATGCTGTTTTGGGGCCACATCACTTTGGACGACCTTTACTTGGCTGAATGTTGTTGTTTGTTTCTTTAAGCAATATGTGTGTATATGTTGGCGGGCCTTGGAAAGTCACTTTGCTCAGGTTCTGGGAAGATGCACTGGCACGGCACGCGAGGGTCTGCGTGAACGTCTTCCGCAAGCAACGCAAGGCTGGAGCCAAGGTTTTAATTGTTTGTAGTTTGACTGGCGTGGAATGAATGGGCGTCCATTAACAGCGATCCTTTTTCCAACAATCACGGAAGTAGACAAGGGGATGCGGCGGAAGGCAAGTAGGCAGCCAACCCGCCTGTCAGCTTTCCGTGATTAATGGAGGGAGGGTATGTTACAGGAGAAAACTGAGATTCGCCAAAGTGCAGCATGTTGGGCACTGTGATTTGGCCCTCCCTCACGCACCCTACACCCCAACTTCCTTTAGCCAGTGTCCCTTGTTTCCAGTCCTCTGGTTTTGCGGAGGGCGCTGCGATGTCTGCCATTCCGGTTGTTATGATGCACGTATGTTGGCTTTGGCCATACGGCGCATTGAGCCCATAACCTTTGGGGGCTGGAGGTGTCTTTGAGGCGAGTCCTCCCGCCTTTAAAACTTTAAGCGAAAGGCCACGGGTCCAAGAAAGGCTCTTAGAACAGTCTCACTGTGTCTTACCTCTTAAAAACACAACTTTTCGTAACTGTTTGGGATAACATGGGCTATATGTCTGTAAAAGATTAACTTCCCCAGGGCTTGGAGCTTTAAGGGGTAAGCACTGGGGTCATTATTTTGACGGTTGGAGGTTATCAAAGTCAGAAAATGGGGTTGTTTCCCTGCGGCCAGTCTCAGGGGCTGGATGGCCTCTGAGAACCATTCTGGGGAAACTTTCTGGGGAAACCCTTAAGGATGAGCCCGAAGATGTGATGGCTTTTGAGGCGACCTTTTCTTTGGCGCATTTTGCCAAGGGATGTTAGGACTTTAACTTTTCGCCAAATTAAACCACTAAAAGTTAGTCACTTTTGGCAGAGGAGCAGAAAGCAACCGAGTTTTTCAGCTTGGCAGCTTGGCTGTTGTTTGACACATACCCGCACGAAAAGTTGGGGCCCGTGCCCCTATGTCCTCCCCAAACCATGGGTAGGCTACCGATGGAATTGAGCTCAAAGGCTGGTCGCATCTGGTCGCCCAACTGTGCATGGAGAAAATCCTGCACCATTTGAGGTGGATGAAACCCATGAATCCAGGACCAAACCGCCAAGTAGCGCTATGAACATCTCGTCCATCAAGAGCCATCGAGCCTTACGGCAGCTCAACCTTGAAGAAGCCAACTTGATTTGACCAGCGCCAACTTTGTTAGGTGTATCACCCTGATTTTGTGGTTCGGATTGGTGGTTTAAACCCCGGCCCCTCATGAAACCAAATAAAGAAGGCACACCCCAACCCCCAAGCCACCTGCCCAAACTTCCATTTGCTTGCGACTTCCCTTGTTGGTTCTACAGGGAATCCATTTCATTGGACATGTTTTTGTTCATTTTGTCGGGGCGCAAAAGCCAAAGGAAGTTCATCGGTTTGGATTGGTTTGAGGCTTGGGCTTGGCAATGTACAAGGTAACCATAAGAGTTCACAAATTCTGAACGTTGCATTTCGTCCATCCACAGTATGGCAAACAGGGTTGGTGGAGGACATGGGTTTGGCTCAGGGTACAGGGCTCCTTAAAAGATACATGTTGTTGAAACATGTTGCTTTTTCCAGCAGAACAACGGACCACCGCCATTTACAAGTTGCAATGTTCAGGTGTATAATGCATCCGGATCCCTGGGTTTTTTTCCCCAAGAAACGTCGCTCGAGAGATCGCGGCAGAGATCGCCGCTGGAGAGGCCTTCAATGCCACGCGCCAGCGGATGCCGCCAGAAGCCCTGCGGCTGCGGCTGCGGAAAGCCCCGGAGGCCGGGGGGGTGAGTTGAGGACTTGACATTCCCTTTGGTGCAATTTGCGTGGATGTTAGGACTTTAACTTTTTGCCATCCAATTAATGGGTTTTCCATAGTTTAACTTTTAGCAGGGGAGCAGAACGCAACCGAACTCCATTCTCTGTGCAAAAACGAGAAAAAGGGATTGGGAGGCTTGAATCCACTGAAACTTCCTGCTTGTCCGGGACTAAGAGGTTCGCCCTATGGGTGGGGGAAGTGTCTCGCAGGTCTGAGGTGGGCGTGGCTCAAATTGAAAAACAGCTGGGGGTACGCAGGTTTTAGTCTACTTGTCCATTTGCCAGGGTTCCATTCTGAATTCCAACTTTTGGAGCCACACCCAGGTTGGACTATTGTTTGACTCGTTGGTTCTTGTTTCATCACTTTGGTGGCAAACAACAAGTCTGCACTTTTTCTTTTTTTTGAGCAATCCACTCAGGAATTGTAAGATTTGCGGTTGTCGTTCCTTGGTTGGGCTCGTGACTTGCTTTTTAGTTGGTTTGTCGTGCCTTTGGGTTGTTGCGCTTGGTTGTTTGTTTGTTTGCTTTTTGGGGGGGGGCTTGGGGTGAATGTTGACTCCCAGATTAACAATCCTGCCCCACGACAAACACCCTGCTGTTGACCATGTGTAGAAATAGGTCCCCCACTAGTGCCCTGTTACCCTTGTTTTGGGGGAGGGTTCCCCTACTAACATGCACTACAGAATTCCCTAAAAAAATGTTTTACCCATTTGAAACATGGCTTTTTTCACCAGAAGAAGGGGAACACCATTTGCAAGGCAATGTTCAGGTGTATAATGTAAGGATCCCTGCAGAAGAAAGTTGGCACCCTTATTCTAACCTCTCTACTGGAGGACCCAGAGAAGAATCTCCTTTTGGGAAATGGACCCCTTCTTTAAAACTGCTTCCGTAAAAATTCATCCTTTGGGTTGGCTGATTTTGGGGTGTGGGGTCACCCTGCTCCGATGAAAACCGACGCATGTTCATTCCATTCGCCAAACCCAATTTGGAGACTTGCTGCGCAGCAGCCAGCCTGAAGGTGTTTTGTGGGCATTATCAGGGGACCCCAAAAATGGTTGGTTTCCTTTGGTGTCCCTTTGCAAACCACCAAACAGGGGGTACCCTCAAAAAAGGACACCCTCCAATATTATATTTAGTCAGAGCCATAAGGGGAGCCAAAGCCCATGCAGGACCACGTGTCAGAACCTTCCGTTGGCTCTCCTTGACCAAGATAAGTTGCAAAACCGCGGTGGCACGGTCCAAGAGGAAAAGGCAACAAGCTGGGTTTAAACAGGGCCACGCTGAGGAAAACCGTGTTTTTTTTGGTCGGCCCCCCCCAAAAAAAATAACAAAAACGTACTCATCAGGTTTCTAAGAAACGGGCTCCGATCGCTTGTCCCAGTGGCTGGCCCCATTTGGGCACCCATTTGCCACCCAAGGGTTGGATCTGTGGCATCTTTCTTAAAGATGACCCCTCCCCCATCACAAACAAAAGAAGACACGTTGCAAAGATGGCCTTCCCCGCCCCCCAAAAAATGGAAACATAGAATAAACATAGCAGAAGCAGAATAAGCATGCAACAAGAAAAGAACACAACAAGCAATGCAAAACCTGTTACAAGATGCCCCCTCGCCCAAACACAATCATAACAACAACAAACACATGTCTTTCCCAAGGAGAAAACATCAGCTCTAAATCAAAGCGTCGGCGAAAACTTCGCCGCCAGGTTCGGATCCCTTCCACCTGGCGCCAACGCAGCCGCGCGCTGCGCCGTGCGATCCGCTCGGCCCGCGCTGTGAGCGCCTGGGAATTGGGCGACGCCGGGCCGAGGAGAGACACCGTGCCGAGGGGTAGAAGGACCCCATATCTCACTCCCTGAGTTCATGGACTTGGTACTTTTTGCGAAGACCATTTTGGTGGTAAACAAAAAGTTCGGACTTTTTTTGGCCAATCAACTCAGCAGGCGAGTAGGTATGGGTCAAGATTAAGCCACCAGGGAACCGCAGGTTTTAGCCCATGTTTCCATTTACCAGGGTTCTATATTGGGTGCCTATTTGCCCCACACCCATATTAATCAGCCCCAGTTTCTGAATAGGGGGGTGTGCCCCTCCAATACATGATGATTTCCCCATAAACCCAGGGACACCCCGCTAAGAATAAACCGGGGTGGATTCGTATGTGGTGAACTGAAAGGATTTGGAGATTTGATATTTTCAGATTGGAAGGAACAATGATGATACAGGTGTTCGTACATTCAGATTGTCATCTTCATATCTGTTGCTTGTGCATGTCTGTGTGTTGATGCAGCGGTTGTTGCTTGATTTCCGTATGTAATGGTTGTTTGTTTGCATTAAAAGCAGTAGTTGCAAACACATGTTTAGCCATGAGGGGTGGCCCCACCGAAAAAAGAGAAAAAAAACAAGGAACAAAAAACAGGAATGCATGGCGTGGGGCGTCACCAAGTTTTCCCGCGTCAATTGGGACATGAATTGTGTGAGGCTGGGTCACCCAGTAGTCATCAGTAGCCTACGGTTCATTTGGGAGGGGACATGGGGAAATCGTCTTTTACCATGTTGCAGGACAAGTGGTTTTGACTGCTCATATTGAGCCACAGTCCCAAACACTTTCCCGCTCGTTGGGGCTCGGCTTCTGAGGAACCCGGGCCACACCAGTGCAACTTGGGGGGGGGGGGGGGCCTGGAGTTTCCTGAAGTAACATCCACCCCCCGGGTTGCGGGTACGTGTCAATTGAAGCAGCTATTACAAAGAATGTGCAAAAAGCTATTTAATTAATTTGTATGAAGCATACTTTCAGATATTAGAATTTTCTTTTTATCTATGAAAAAAGAAAAACCCGCAAGAAATATCGGTTTCCTAAGCTATTTCCCTGGTACTCCCTTTCCCCCAATAATAAATGAACCCTACTCACAAATACATTTTTCCAGACTGGCTGAAAGAGCCGGGTACCTTCCAAAACACAGAAAAAGGCACCCCTGGCTTTCCCAACTTTCACCTCGCGTTTTATTTCGCCGCACGAGGTGCTGCCAAAGGCCGGCCACTGCGCGGTGCTGACGCCTGGCAGACTGAACATCGGAGCTCCACGTTGGGACGCATCGCTCAGCGATTGACACGGCTATAAAAGCCACTTACCGAGTTGTGTGTTGTTTTTTGTTGCAGGTTACACCTCTTGCCCCAGGGCGCGAAAGTTACCCGTCAAAAAGAAAAGGAACCCTTCCACGTGCAACCCTTGTCGCTGTAAGCCCCTGAAATGGGTCATAGGGCTAACAGGCTAACCCCGAAGTCCCGGATTGTCCAAGCAGGAAGTTTCAGTGGATTCAGGCCTCCCAATCCCTCTTTGTAGTTTTTGCACAGAGAATGGAATCAACGCCCGGACGCGGACGAGATGGTTCCCTTTTTCCACTCGGCTCGCCGGGCATGGCTTCATGCCATCCGCCGTTGATCATCAGATCCTCCCACACCCCTCCACATATGACCCAAACAAGGGCCTTAGTTGAAGGCAACCATGGAGGGGGATATGATATGATTTGTTGTCTAAAATCTTTATGGCTCTACGAGCCATAAATGTTCAGCCACGCCCGGTCTTTGGTGTGACCTTCGATTGAGCTTGGGGGCGCCTGTGCTTCGAGTTGCACAAAAGGTAAGCGTTGGGCAGAACGCCCCTGAGATCTTTTGGAAGCAAATGGCATTTCCTTTCATCCTACAAAACTTCCATTTGCTGACATTAATATTGTTTTATTTCCCGTTTTTGGTTTTACTGGCAATCTTTCACTGCTGGACATATTTTCTCATTTTTCCAGGGGGCGAGAAAGCAAATGGAAGAAAAGGTTAGACCTTGTGCTCGGGGCTTGGCGCAATCCAGTCGTTCGGGTCACTCTCGCATAGCCGAAGCTGAGGATGCGACGCCTACCGATGGGCGCGTGTCTTGCCCCCACTGCGGGCGCAAGTTCGAGGAAGCCATGGCAGGGAAGCACATCCCGGTGTGCGGCTCGGCAAGCCTTTTCTTTTCTTCCGCATCTCCCCGTCGCGTATGATTCGGAGTAGTCCAAAGTTGACAGATCTACCCTAGACTGATTTTGCTGCTCATGTTTTCCAATCCAATCAATGGACTTGCCAGCCCTGACATTACTTGACTGGGTGCTGTCCATTATCCTGGAGGAAGCATTGTTATGGACAGTTTTTCCAGGCCCTTCACCCGGTTCAGCGACCCAACCAGCTCCAAGAAGTCCCCAAGAGTTGGGCTGGGAGTTTTGAGAGTGGTTAGGGTCCGGGAGGTCTGTTACCACCACCACCACCACCACCACCACCACCACCACCTCCACCTCCACCTCCACCTCCACCTCCACCTCCACCTCCATGACCACCACCATCACCACCACCAACACCAGCACCAACACCAAAACCAGCACCAACACCACCAACACCACCAACACCACCACTCCACCACCACCCCATTACCACCACCCCATTTTACAGGTTTATTTGGCATGGGGCCGAACAAAACCAATTGGAATTTGGCGGACTGCATTTTCCCTTGGCCGGCCAGGGGCCAACTGACTGCAGCAAGTTTGACATTTGTTGGCCCTTTGCACAGGGTTCCTTACCTTCCATTTGCTTAAGAATATTGTTTATTTTCCCCTGTTGGTTTTCAAGGGAATCGATTTCACTACTGGACACATTGCTTTTTTGTTCCAATGGTCTTAACCAAATGGAAGTTTCAGGATGCCGTGGGGTCAACTTGAAAGTCACCTTTGACTTGGATCAGAATCCCTGTGCAGCATGTGGCTTTGGGATGTATCCTTAAAGGAAACCTGTTGTATCTTCCTTTCTTTGCCTAAACTTCCATTCGCTTAAGAATATGTTTTTATATTCCCCTTTTGGTTTGGCATGGAATCTATCACTACTGGAAATATGTGTTGTTGTTTTTTGTTTTGGTTTTGTTTTTTTCAGGGAGCAAATGGGAGTAAATGTCAAGGCTGCAGGGTAGGGTTGCTGCAACGCTTCGGAACAATGACTCAAGGGGAAACATATTGTTGGACCCCTTTGGTTCGTGCTAGCTCCGCTTGCCCGAAACAGATTTTGGGTAGACTTCTTTGATACCAGGAGTCTATTCGCTTCTGTTTTGAATTGGTTTTGGGGATAGGCGCTCGCGCGATGTTAGATTCGCGTCAAGATTCAGGGCTTCGCTGCCTGTTGACCGCCCCCCCTTTCTAGCGGGAAGAAAAGCCAAAGGTTCTAGACGTCCATCTAGAGTAGTGGCTTCCCCATCCTTTCCAGGAACCTTTCCAGACATCCGCGAAAGCACCAGAGAAAACTAACGGCTTTCCAAGCGGAACGAGGGTGGGAATCACCGGGTCCCTTACGTGGATGTTCCAACCAAACATCCAAAATCATCCAAACCACGGTTCTCATTGAACAGGAGTGTGAGCCCCATGGCTGAAGTGAAAATGAGAGTACCTGGCCAGTTGAGCCATTTCCCAATTCAAACCTACAAGAAGAACAACAGAGCACCTGAGGACCTTCAAGTCCTGGTTCTGTGCAGGGTTGCTCGCCCAAAGGTACCGCGACCAGATCATGACAGGTTAGAGCTTTGAAACCAATTTCCCCTCCCATCAAATAACATGGAACCTGACGTTCGGTTGGCCCTTGGTTTGGACCATTTTCCTTAAGGGACCGTGTCCCTTTTTTCAGGTTCCAGGTGAAAAGGCGGGGAACAAGTTTTGGAATGACTTCGAGAAAAACCATCCCCGAATTTGCTTCCTAGGGATTCCCCAAAATCAGGATTTCCTCAAGTTCCTTAATTTATGGGCGTGGCTCAAAAAAATACACAACGGTCGCGCAGAACCTAGTCTTTGGTTCCATTTGCCAAGGTGCCATTGCGGTTGAAGGGACCCTTCCATATTTGCTGAAAGGAATATGTTTTGATTTTCCCCTGTTAGTTTGAAAGGGAATCAATTTCACTACTGGAAATATTTATATACACGTTTTGTGCAGGGGTCGAAAAGCCAAATGGAAGGACGGTCTTAACCAAAGGATTCCAGGGGACGGCCTTAATAAAAAGGATTCCAGGGGTCGGAAAACCAAATGGAAGGACGGTCTTAACCAAAGGATTCCAGGGGTCGGAAAAAATGGAAGGACGGTCTTAACCAAAGGATTGGTCTTAACCAAAGGATTCCAGGGGTCGGAAAACCAAATGGAAGGACGGTCTTAACCAAAGGATTCCAGAGGTCGAAAAGCCAAATGGAAGGACGGTCTTAACCAAAGGATTCCAGGGGTCGGAAAACCAAATGGAAGGACGGTCATAACCAAAGGATTCCAGGGGTCGGAAAAAACAATTGGAAGGACGGTCTTAACCAAAGGATTCCAGGGGTCGGAAAACCAACTGGAAGGACGTTCTTAACCAAAGGATTCCAGGGGTCGGAAAACAATGGAAGGACGGTCTTAACCAAAGGATTCCAGAGGTCGGAAAACCAAATGGAAGGACGGTCTTAACCAAAGGATTCCAGGGGTCGGAAAAAAACAATTGGAAGGACGGTCTTAACCAAAGGATTCCAGGGGTCGGAAAAAAGTTGGAAGGACGGTCTTAACCAAAGGATTGCAGGGGCCGGAAAACCAAATGCAAGGACGGTCTTAACCAAAGGATTCCAGGGGTCGGAAAAGAATTGGAAGGACGGTCTTAACCAAAGGATTCCAGGGGTCGGAAAACCAAATGGAAGGACAGTCTTAACCAAAGGATTCCAGGGGTCGGAAAAAAAAGTTGGAAGGACGGTCTTAACCGAAGGATTCCAGGGGTTGGAAAGCCAAATGGAAGGACGGTCTTAACCAAAAGGATTCCAGGGTCGTAAAAAATGGAAGGACGGTCTTAACGAAAGGATTCCAGGGGTCGGATATCCAAATGGAAGGACGGTCTTAATCAAAAGATTCCAGGGGTCGGAAAAAATGGAAGGACGGTGTTAACCAAAGGATTCCAGGGGTCGGAAAAAAATGGAAGGACGGTCTTAACCAAAGGATTCCAGGGGTCTGAAAACCAGATGGAAGGACGGTCTTAACCAAAGGATTCCAGGGGTCGGAAAACCAAATGGAAGGACGGTCTTAACCAAAGGATTCCAGGGGTCTGAAAACCAACTGGAAGGACGTTCTTAACCAAAGGATTCCAGGGGTCGGAAAACAATGGAAGGACGGTCTTAACCAAAGGATTCCAGGGGTCGGAAAACCAAATGGACGGTCTTAACCAAAGGATTCCAGGGGTCGGAAAAAACAATTGGAAGGACGGTCTTAACCAAAGGATTCCAGGGGTCGGAAAAAAGTTGGAAGGACGGTCTTAACCAAAGGATTCCAGGGGTCGGAAAACCAATTGGAAGGACAGTCTTAACCGGGGTCGGAAAACCAAATTGCAGGACCTCTCGCGGATTCAACTCGTGGCTTGCTTGCCCTTTGTCGCGTCCTTCGAGGCCGGCGCTCCCAGCCGGAGCCGGAGGCCTCGACCTGGTGGCGCAGGGTTCCCGCCCGTTGGTCGAATTCTCGGGCGTTATCCCACAAGCCCAGGGGTTTTCAGCTTTTTTTCGGTTTTCGCGAAGCCTCGCCATAGCCAGCGGGATTGAAGGATCCGAACCTTTGCAAGCGGGCGATTTTGGGGATCCTTGACGCCCGTTGGCAGGCCCTTGAAAGGCCGGTCTTTTGGGAGGCGGGCGCGTACTTGCTCAATGAGAGCCGTCCTTTTGGCTTTTGCTGCAAAGGGAACTTCAAGGCTGCTTGTTTTGAGAATAGTGGTTAGCAATTGTGCCCGCATTTGCGAGTGACATGTTGTTCAGCCTGGGTAGTGGGAACAATCCCCCTTCCCACCAGGTGAAAGATTCCCGATTTCCCCCGCCTGACCCCAAAGCAGGACACATGACATTTGCCGTATGCTTTTCTTGGATTTTGTTTCCTTCGAGTATGGTCCTTGCGGCGTCTGGTGGCAAAGACTTGAAATGCCAGTAAACTTTGGATGCGCGCAATTATCAAGATTTCACCCCTCTTGGCTGTTTGATGATGATTATTGTCATTTTTATCTCAACCCTTTTTGGGTTGGGTTTCTCCTTTGTCTTTGGTGCCTCCCTTGGTCCGCAAAATTCACCGCTTGCCTCCTGGATGGCCCGACCGATTTTTGTCCGAGAGGCATCGCCGAAAAGCCACGGCCAGCGGGTCGCAGGCGGGCTTGGCGGGCTTGCAGGCTCAAAGTCGCCGGGAATGGGACACGCCTTTGTCAATGTGAGATGTTACCTTCAGCTCCTCTCCAAGGACGACTCTATGTCGGGGCAGTTGAGACTTCGACTGCGTAGGTGCTGATTGCATACATAGCTTGTCGCAGGTAGCAACTTCTTGCATTTTTTTGCCGTGGTTGCGAAATCCAGGACTCGTATTGTTGAAATCAGAATCGCTGGAGATTCTGATTCGATTCCCCAAAGTAGATGCCAGCAGACGTTATGGTGCCCCCCGGGTTTCAAAGTGGTGCGAACGGATTTCGTCCATCCACACTACGTGTGTCCAAGGTGTTTTTCCCGGAAGCGGAAGGTTGCTGTGTGCGATTCGCAAAAGTAAATAAGGTGTGGCCAGGGGCATGTGGTTCAAGGATACGGCCATTTTTGCTCCTTACCCCAGTGGATCCATTTGCCCTCCCACCAACTAACATGGAACCTGACAGGGAGTCCCTTAAGGAAAATGGTCTTCCAGGACCCTGTCAGGTTCCATGTTCATTGGTGGGAGGGTACCTAGTGTGGGTGGGCAGCTCCCGTAGGCGTCTCCCAGCGCGTTGCGGGCCGCGATGCCCGCGATACGCGGCCCTGGTGAGTGAGCGGGCGGATCAGTTTGCGAGGCAAGGGCAAGCGGCGGAAATCTGCCCTTTGGTAGGTCCTTCCAAAAAATAGTGCCAGCACCCCTAAACGGGTTGCCTTTGGTCCAGGCATCTGGGCCTTTCTCGCAGGCCCCTCAGGTATTTGGCAACCGAATTCTGGCAAAAAGTTAGCTTTTTGCTGCTGAGGAGCTAAGGCCAACTCCGTAGTTGATAGTCCATCCCCCGCGTACCCTTCCATGCGAGGGTGACAATGTTATGGCCTTGAGCTTTTCCCGTTGATCTATGCTTTTGTGGGTGTCACTGGCAGTTCAAATCCCGTGAACCCCTCCCCTTGGGCAGTTCTGGGAAGCCAATGTGAAGTTTTCTCAAACTGACAATGGAACCCCGACATACGCCGACCCAGCGCAGCCTTTCTTGTTTTTGTGGGTGTATGTTTGTGTTAAGATCCGAAGGTTCGCCTTCCAGATCCTTTGGAATTGGGAAAGCCGCCCTATTCAACACCGTGACGTGAGTTCATATGTGGAAATCCAATGTTGCACTCCCTAGCTCAGACTGAGTTGCACCGGTTGCGGGCAACACACAGGGGCTGCATTGGTTGGCGATTCCAGGGGTGCTGAAAAGAGCTCCAAGGCTGATTGCATAAGTCCATGTATGTGAACTCATTGCCATGGTAAGTAAGTAAAGGGACAATGCATGGGTGACCTGTATCACTTGAAGGAAAATCAAATTATCATCAAACATGTGGCAGTATTTTTTTGGGGGGGTTCTTTCCAGCGCTCGCCATTTGCTTGATTGGGCCTCTCCCTATCTCCGCGAGTTCGTATTCCCCTGATCCGGTGTTGCCCAGTGCCTCGGCTTCGGCGAAGCTCCGATCTCCAAGTCTTTTGCGTTTCACCCGGCCATCCTGGCCGACGGCAGCAGAGCGATTCAGACGGAATCGTGTGCGCGCACGTTTGTTGGGAACGTGTGACACCCGGCATCTCTCCGAAGAAATGAGTGCTCCTCTTTTGATATAGTTTTGCACCTTGAGGCTACAGGTTGGCCGAATATGGAACGCAATCTACAAATGAGATTCCCTCGTGAGTCCCTGCTAAAACCGTAAGGGGCTTACTTTCAACAAATGCTTCTTTTTTGTGGGGGAGGACAGGGAAAGTGGGTTCTATGAAACTGTTTCTGACTCTGTTTATTTGACCTCCCAAAAAGAGAAAGATACAAGCCAATGGCGTGTGCCAGGAGATGTTTGTGTGGAAGAAAGGTTTTTTTTTGTTTTGTTGTTTTTCTTTTCTGGTCTTCGGTGGGCATGGGTCTTCCTTCAGCAAGCAGTTCTGCGCCAGAAGTGGTGCGGAATCCAAAGCCGGTGGACACAAACTTTTCAAAAAGGATGTGCCATTTAGAAAGTGTGTCGCTTGCAGCGAGCTGGGGGGATGGAAGAGAGGGCCATTTCAGCTCAACGAAAGAGTCGAGTGCTGGTAGAAGCGGAGATGCGCCCTTTTCATTATCGACTATGGGTTTCGTGAATAGTTTCACTTTCCTTTTTGTGGTATGAACGGGGACGACATAAGTTGTATTGCGCTTTGGGCAACATAAGCTTATAAGGGTTATCATTTCATCGTGACGGGATCATTCGCAACGCGTCTTCCCTGAGACGATTGGTTGATGACAACACTTGTTGCAAACACAAAACCAGGAACAACCGTGCATCTTGGAAAATGGTGTCTAGTTGGTTTATTTGAGGAAATCACGCGTATGAGGTGTTGTTGTTGTGTTTGTTTGCTAGTTTCGTTTGAATCCGCAGTGGCAGCCAGGCTTCGCCCGATCTTTCCCTGAGTTGTCTGTCTTCGGGCCCAAAAGGCCAGCCGTTTCCTAGAGGAAATCAAGTGCGAAAGGTGTTGCCAGTCAACTCAGCAAGCTCTTTGGTCCATGGGATCTCTTGAAGCTACCTAGACTCTCCATGACCCTTTAAAAATGGTTGGTCATGATTATGGATGGTCTAATCCTGAACCATCGCAAACACGCACAGACACGTCCATCTATCTACATAAATACATATGAGCCACGGACAAAACACACGAAGACCACTTTATCAAGGCGGGGTACGTTTTTGCACAACACATGCAAAAACCATGGAAAACGATAAGGTCTCCCCCAAAAACGATAACCCTTAGGTAACACACGGCTCTATAATAACCCCTGCAGTTGCAACTTAGTTAGGGTGGGACCCTTGCGTGGCCACCGTAAAACGAGAAGGCGAGTCGCCACTTTCGAGCTGGAGCTGCCAAGGTGTGCTTCGTAAATACGACACTTGTACTGAGAAGTTGCGATTTTCGAGCTGGAGCTGCGGAGGTTACTTTAGAGCCTCCGGCTCGGTCCGCCGACATTGTCCTCTCCCTTTTCTCCTGCTTCCTCTCTCCCTTGTCTCCCTGGTGTGTTCTGTCGTCCTCTCTCCCTCCCTCCGCTCCCCATCCTCCCCATCCCCCCAAGCCACTCTCTCCCCAATCTCTCCCTCTCGTATGTATGTATGTATGTATGTATGTATGTATGTATGTATGTATGTATGTATGTATGTATGTATGTATGTATGTATGTATGTATGTATGTATGTATGTATGTATGTATGTATGTATGTATGTATGTATGTATGTATGTATGTATGTATGTATGTATGTATGTATGTATGTATGTATGTATGTATGTATGTATGTATGTATGTATGTATGTATGTATGTATGTATGTATGTATGTATGTATGTATGTATGTATGTATGTATGTATGTATGTATGTATGTATGTATGTATGTATGTATGTATGTATGTATGTATGTATGTATGTATGTAATGTATGTATGTGTATGTATGTAATGTATGTATGTATGTATGTATGTATGTATGTATGTATGTATGTATGTATGTATGTATGTATGTATGTATGTATGTATGTATGTATGTATGTATGTATGTATGTATGTATGTATGTATGTATGTATGTATGTATGTATGTATGTATGTATGTATGTATGTATGTATGTAATGTATGTATGTATGTATGTATGTATGTATGTATGTATGTATGTATGTATGTATGTATGTATATGTATGTATATGTATGTATGTATGTATGTATGTATGTATGTATGTATGTATGTATGTATGTATGTATGTATGTAATGTATGTATGTATGCATGTATGTATGTATGTATGCATGTATGTATGTATGTATGTAATGTATGTATGTATGTATGTATGTATGTATGTATGTATGTAATGTAATGTAATGTAATGTAATGTAATGTATGTATGTAATGTATGTATGTATGTATGTATGTATGTATGTATGTATGTATGTAATGTATGTATGTATGTATGTATGTATGTATGTATGTATGGTAATGTATGTATGTAATGTATGTATGTATGTATGTATGTATGTATGTATGTATGTATGTATGTATGTATGTATGTAATGTATGTATGTAATGTATGTAATGTATGTAATGTATGTAATGTATGTATGTAATGTAATGTAATGTAATGTAATGTAATGTAATGTAATGTAATGTAATGTAATGTAATGTATGTATGTATGTAATGCGATGTAATTTAAAGTAATGTAATGTGATGTTGTGTAATGTAATGTATGTATGTATGTTTGTATGTCTGTCTGTCTGTATGTCTGTATGTATGTATGTATGTATCCTTGCACTTCCCCTTTGCTCCCCAGTATTTCCCGCAAAAAACACTGTTTTTCCAGCGTTTTCGCAAAGATGATGTCCAAAAACACAGAGTTTTTCCAGATTTTCGGCAAAAGGATGCAAGGAAGCCCAAGCCAGCAAAAAAGCCGAACGTCGTCAAATTGCCGCGCGGTCCTTGGGGGGGGGGGGGGGCCCCCCCCCCCCGGGTGGGGGGGGGGGTTTTGGGGGGGGGGTTATTCTCTATCCTCTCTTAGGTGTCCGACACGCCGAGCAAAGTCGGCGGATTTCGCGTACTTGACTTGTACTACAAGTTGCGATTTTCGAGCTGGAGATGCGGAAGTGTACTTCGCGTACTAGACTTGTGCTACACAGTTGCGATTTTCGAGCTGAGCTGCGGAAGTGTACTTCGCGTACTATAGGCTTGTACTACAAAGTTGCGATTTTCGAGCTGGAGATGCGGAAGTATACTTCGCGCACTAGACTGGTACTACAAAGTTGCTATTTTCGAGCTGGAGCTGCGGAAGTGTACTTCGCGTACTAAACTTGTACTACAAAGTTGCGATTTTCGAGCTGGAGCTGTGGAAGTGCACGTCCCGTACTGGACTTGTACTACAAAGTTGCGATTTTCGAGCTGGAGATGCGGAAGTGTACTTCGCGTACTAGACTTGTACTACAAAGTTGCGATTTTCGAGCTGGAGATGCGGAAGTGTACTTCGCGTACTAGACTTGTACTACAAAGTTGCGATTTTCGAGCTGGAGCTGCGGAAGTGTACTTCGCGTACTGGACTTGTACTACAAAATTACGATTTTCGAGCTGGAGCTGCGGAAGTGTACTTCGCGTACTAAACTTGTACTACAAAGTTGCGATTTTCGAGCAGGATGCGGAAGTGTGCTTCGCGCACTGGACTTTTACTACAAAGTTGCGATTTTCGAGCTGGAGATGCGGAAGTGTACTTCGCGTACTAGACTTGTACTACAAAGTTGCGATTTTCGAGCAGGATGCGGAAGTGTACTTCGCGCACTGGACTTTTACTACAAAGTTGCGCTTTTCGAGCTGGAGATGCGGAAGTGTACTTCGCGTACTAGACTCTACAAAGTTGCGATTTTCAAGCTGGAGATGCGGAAGTGTACTTCGTGTACTAGACTTGTACTACAAAGTTGCGATTTTCGAGCTGGAGCTAGGGAAGTGTACTTCGCGTAGTACAAAGTTGCGATTTTTGAGCTGGAGCTGCGGAAGTGTACGTCGCGTACTAGACTTGTGCTACAAAGTTGCGATTTTCGAGCTGTAGCTGCGCAAGTATACTTCGCGTACTAGACTTGCACTACAAAGTTGCGAGTTTCGAGCTGGAGCTGCGGA